TGTTGGTTACGAGAGAGCTCGCACGCACACACAAAGCGGAGACAAACCTTTTTCAGCACCAGGAGCACAACAAGATCTGATGTCTACTAAGCTGGGATGTACAAGTATGCTCTTCGACTATCAGTCTGAAGTGTCCTACGGGACGTACTGGGAGAGAGACATGTGCCTTTAGTGCCCCTAGTCTGAGCCTGCATGGCTGAGCACCTGAAGGATGCGTAGGGCAGCTCCAAACCTGCACGCACTCCCCCTCCAGACCATTCTGTGAGCCTCTAGTGCAGGAGAGATGACTTAGCCGCACATCTTTTGCATATTGGCCGTGAGGTCACCTGGGATCCACGAATTGTAGAACAATCCTTGGACAAGTGCAGGCATTCTCCACGGGGTGTCATGTATAGACGAACCTGCTGCTTAGCCTTCTTTTCCTCCTGAACCTGGCATGGCTCACCAGAGCTCTCAGCATCATTGCGGTGGCGGTCACTGCAGGAACCATGCTTAGCTGTGTCGACTGAGTTGTTGATGTTCACATGGACCAGTGCACTTGTGTCCCTGCCTTTATGCAACCAATCCCACAGCATTCGGATTACAATCACAATCAGACCCCCAACCAAAAAACCCCATCCAAACATTTCAAAACTTCTATCACCTCCATCAGCATGCTGGATGGGTATTGCAACACAATTGTCGCCATCAAGAGGTGCGCCCGATGCACCCGGCAGGCTCCCCACGGCTGCCGCCAGAGCTAAGCTAGTGCACGTGCCACTGCCATCACCACTGGAGTGCTGCTGCCTTTCCGGAGAGCTCGGGCCTCGATCAGACCTAGCATCTCCAGCCTGATATCCTCCTGAGCTGTCTGATGACCTCTCTCTGACTGTATACTCCCCTGAGCTAGTGGTGGCCCCTTCCAGCTCAGAGTCCTCTGTATCATCTTCTTGATCTTCACGTCTTGCTTGAGCTGGAACGATCCAGGCTTCATCATCTGCATACCGTATCACAGCCACCCCTGGGAGGGGTACTGTTGGATCACGAACTTCCGGGGCGCCAGGCCTTGGCTCTACCTGCAGGGACGCTCCTTGCACATTGAAGGATTGGACTGCTGGATTGACCTGATCGGTAGATGACTGGCCGGGCGGAACATCGGTGTTCCTACGATCCTGCAGCCTACGGTTTTCATCTCTAGCGGCCATTAACTCTTCTCGATACCGCTCTATTTCTACACACCGCTCACTTAGCAGCTGACGCAGATAAGTGCATCTATCCACATACTCTTGACCAAAACGCTCACTTTCCCTCAGACGGCTTGCAAGCTCCTCTACTTCACTCAGCTCCTGGGGATAAGCGGCCAGAAGGTCCTCATAGGTAGGGTGGTATGGAGTTTCCCCTGAATGTGCGGTGGCGAGGGGAGATGCACGCTCCCGATCAACGCCATAGCACAGCTCTTCATATGTTGTTTCACGAAGACTTGCTTCTCGCGCTACCCTAGTTGTGCTTGGAGCTTCTTGCTGCTGTGAACCGCTTTGGCTTGCGTTCTCTTCTGCTGCGTCTCTCGAAACTCCTTCAAGGAGTAGTGGCTCGTGGAGGTTACGACTGATTTTGTCTCTACTGCCTGTTGCTTCTCGTGGAGATCGAGGTCCACAGCTTATTTTCATAGGAGCTGTATAGAAGCATTTTTCAAGTATCCATTTTGCCGTGGCTACCCCTAGGAACGCACCTAGCCCGATGCAGAAACTGGCAGTCGTTACTCCCCCGAGCTCCATCAGCTCACGAGCTGGATGAATCTCTCGAGACGCCTCAGCTGGAGCTGCCAAGGATGCCAGCATCACCGTTAGAAGAACCTTCAGGATTATGGCTTGTGCTACCTTGGGCATCTCGCGTCCTGAAGCTCCCTGGGCAGTTGACGGAGGTTCTCTCAGACCTATAAGCTCAATCAAGTCGTCGAACCTGGATGGCCCTAGAACTTTCGTTCCAATGTCTGCCGGCATATACAGTCCTGACAAGTGAGTCACGCGCCATCCAAAATCATCAACTGCTTGGCGCAGCACCGCACCACGCAGCCGAAGATGCCTTGTGCGCCACGCTCCAGCGTCTAGCTGTGTCAGCTGGATAGCTGCTGCATTGTCGCCATACAGCACTTTTGTACTAAGCTCGTCAACTTCGATTTCCCCGGCTGTGGCCTCATAGCCTCGGCCCAAAGCCTCGATTGTAGGAAGGAATGCCCTGCCCATTGAGTATCCTTCGACCATACTTATCAGCTCAGCCTCTGCCGTAGAGGCGGCAATCAAGCTTTGTCGGCCTCCAGCCCACATTACAAGTCTGCCACCCCAGAACATCATCGAGCTTTGAACCGACTTGCAGCTCTCGTCGGGACAAAAAGAGGCATCTGTAAACACCTCCACCATCATCGCCCCTCTCTTGAACTGCAGCTCATTCCAGACTCCGAAATCCTCAGGGGCAGGCCCATAGCTCAGCCTGTGGTCAATCGTCCGCTTTAGATACTGCAGAACTATCAGCCCTGCATCACACGCTCCTGCTGGATCTGTGGCAATTTGCTGACACACTGCCTGCACTGCGTAGCACACATCTGGTCTCGTGTGAGTCGAGACCCAGAGAAGTTGACCAGCTATGCTTTGCGCACGCTTAGTCTGATCAAACAACGAGTCCTCTCGGCTGAAGATCTTTGGGGGTTCTTTCACACATGGAACTGTAGATTCCTGTTCCACCTCCCACTGCTGCAAGATCTCTCTTATGTAGCTCCGCTGATGCACATGGAACGCCGACCCCACCTTACTCAGCTCATATCCAGCGAAAGTGACATCCTTTCCTTCTTCAACAACCTCTGGTTCTGAGGTGGTCCAAGGGCTCCGCAATGTATCCATGACGACTCCCCTGCGAAGCTCCGGGGTTACCAACATCAAATCATCGACGTACACGCCTATCCATGCAATCACTTTTTGCTCACGCTCATCAAACAGCTCCCAAATGTTGGAGTCTTCTTGCAGCGGTTTGCATGAAACGGGAGTACCATCGACCAACTCGGTGATTTCTTGAAGAGTTTTGTTTCGGAACAGTGTCCAGCTGCGAGGAGCCACATCCAATCCATATAGGGCTCGCTGGATTTGCCAGAACTGCTCCTGACATACATTAGCAGCCCTAAGGATACTTGGCACTCTTACAATAATCAGCTCTTCGTTTGGAGTCACTATTGGGGCGTTCAGGAATGCAGTCTTAATATCCGTGGTTGAGATCGACCACTGAGCCTGACCCGCAAAGCGGACGAGGAGTCTAATCGACTCTGCTGAAATGCCAGATGCATGAGTATCCAGCTTTGTGCGAGGGCTCCCTTGTTGAAAGTTCCCACACCCTACTATCCGTGTCTTCTTACGGCCACTTTTAGCCTTGACAGAGAAGATGACTTTCCCTGGGAGCACTTCTACTTTCTTAGTTGGGTCTCCTGTCACTGCTGCAAAGTCCTCCTGGCTCATAGGGCTGCAAGTACCGGTAGTGTGGACAAGGGAGGTATACTCCTCTACCATCGACGGCTTCCATGCACATAAGTCTTTTCTAACTTCTTCCGCTGCTACCAAGCGGGTCTGCAGATACTCATCCTCTGCTGTGGCACAAGGGGCCCTGGTGTTGGGGTCAGGGTTATTCTCTACGGGAGTGAGGTTGCGTAGCGCGCTGACTCTTACATTGCTTCGACAAAGGTCAAACTTATCAGCCCCCTCTACAACCGAAGAGCCTTGTTCAAGCAACAAGTCCCATGCAGCTCCGGCCATGCGACGCGCTTGCTTCTCCAGCTCGCAGGTCCTGGCCATCACTGGAGCAGCGTCGCGAGCAGAGGACGACTCCTCATCACCTTCTTCTGACTCTAGGACATGACACATAAACCTATGCTCTGCTGCCAGCGACATCGCTTCAGCTTCGGTGTCAACCTTGACTTTCCAAGGGGTTGACTCTAAGTGGAACATGGTATCAGGCATTACGGTCCCAGGACATTGTTTTAGCTCTGCAGCAACCTCTGGTACCAGGTATCGGCACTTTTCCCAACCATCTAGCTCACAGTCATCTTCCAGCCACGTACTTGTCTTATCTCTACTATCCATCACGGAGTGATTGTCATCCTCCCATTGGGTCTCTGTGCTCCACGTGACGCTATGAGTATCCAGTTGGCTATTTGACCCGATGCTTTCTAGAGCCTCCGGACCTATATTCCGTACGGTTGCACTCTGCGTCTGAATCTTGTGCTCTTCTCTTGGCTCGCCTGTGACCTTTAGCATCTGTGGGAC